AATTGCCGGCGTGCGTGAATATTACGTTGGCCTGTAAGTACTCTAAGTACGTGCACGTTGCGTTTGAAAATTTAGAAAACTACTAGATCGCCCTCACCCGCCTCGCTGAGTGTATGAAATTTTTGCGTGCTACATTGAGCAAAATTTATTTCAAGAAAACTCAATTCAAAAACAGGAGCTTTAAAATTTGTTTAACCAACTTCAAAATATTTTCAAACTAAAACTTTCTTAAACTTCTCACTTGTCATACTTTTTCAACTCAATTGAGATTTTAAACAGATGGAAACCCTTTACATTTAGTTTTGAAATTAAGCCCTTTTAAAATCGTTTTGATTGATTCCCATGTTGTAATAATTCATTTAAATTATTGAATAGTTTGAATTTAACCTTTTAAACAGTTGGCAACCTTTTTAAACCTCTTTCGTCTAACACTCATATTGTGATACATATTCAAAACCATTTCGATTCATACCAATCTATACCAATATATATTTTGAAAGCCTTTTTTTGTGTTCGCAAAGCTCGAGAACGGCCCAACCGATTTTTTTAATTTCCGAAACCTGATTCAGACTCGGAACCTCCCATAAAAACCGAATTTTTCATACCGAATATCTCTGGAAATGTTCATGGTAGAGTACTGGAACTTGGTGTGGAAATGTATGAAATCAATCTTATACTCATGGAGAAAAACGGGCTATTTGAAAAGAGGCCGTGGCGTCGTACAAACGTATATATAATTCATCTGTAGGTGTGTTTGTGAGTGAAATCCTCCTAAATTCTCGGACGGATTTTAACGAAATTTTTTGTGTGTTTTTTGAGTAACTCTCTGGATAGTGTAGATTCACAAATTGACCCGCCAGTTGGCACTGGAGTCAAATTATTGCTAAAAATCTTATTGATGATTCACTTTGGCTAATATTCAAAATATGTATTGGTAACGGTAAAGGCAATACTATTGCAAAAAAGAGCTGCCACGTGGCGCTGGAGTCATTACGAATAATCGCCAAGTTAGAAAAAGTGCCGCGAATGTCACATAAATGTCGCGAATAAATACATCTCTTGCACCATTGAGTATATTGAATTTTTATGTGTTACGATTGGCCCAATGTATGTGATTTTTGCCAGTATTGTTATGCCTTAAAGCTTCATTCGGAGACACAAGGGTTGAGTTGTGCATGGGTAAATCTCAAATCACTACCGATAAATCAACCGCCAAAACCATTGCGCGCCTTTTACTGTAATAAATTCAAGTAAAAAAAAAAGATTTTCACTTAAATTGCTTTCGTGAAACTTACTATTAAGGTATTTCGTCTGAAATAAGTCTATGTATATTGCATTTCTGTAGAACAATTATACGCGTCCTTCTTGAAATTGTCACCAACTATACTATAAAGTTTCTGGGACAGATTAACTATAGAACCGGATCATTGTTGCCGCCAGGGAGTGAAGGGGAAATGTTTTTCAAATTTATTTCGTTATGAGATTAACCGTTATATGAAATGTTACACAATTAGAGAATTTCAAGAACGACCACCAAACCATAATCTTAGCCGATGAGCGTGCCAATGGAAATCGTAAACGTGAATTGTTGGTGAAAATGTTAGACCAAAAAGAATTAATAAAAGAAAATTATTTTGAGCGGGACGAAGTTCGCCGGGTCTGCTACTATTATAATATTTCATTTAAACTAATTAAGTTGAATTTTTAAAAAGGTGGCAACCCTTGTGTAAGACTTCAATATTATTCTAAACTTTAAAACTAAAGGTTTCTTAACAATATTTTGTTTGACAACCATATTTTAATTCTTCAGATGGCTTGCGTATAATTAATTTAAATTTTACTTTTCAAACAGGTGGCAACCCTTTTCAAAATATATTAAACTACAGCTTTTTTAAGTCTCTTAACATCCAGCCCTCATGATTTTATATATCTCCATACCAAGTTCCAGTAATCTACCAAAAATATGTCCTGAGAAATGCAGTATGAAAAATTCCGTTTGTATGGGATGTGCCATGCCCTCTTGCCTAATCGAGATTAAATGTATCCTATATTTTAAGTTGGGCTAAATAAAAGCAGTGTACAAAATTTCATGATGATCGGTTGAATAGTTTAGGCGTGAAAGCGTAGCAAACAAACAAACTCACTTTCGGATTTATAATATTAGTAAGGATATCCGTTCAGGGAAAATACAAAATATACAAAATAATTGAAAATCGTAAACTTTATACGCATTTATTATGAAAAATAACTCGCAGAATCTGAATATGAATGCAAAAATATAAAAAAAATACATTTTAATTTTTTCCAAAAATTGCACTTTTCACGATTATCAATTACATTGTATATGTTTATACATGTAGATTGGCGCTTAGACAATATGTTAATGTTTGGCTGAGCTTCTCCTCCGTTTTATGACGTTCGCCTTCATGTTGTCACACAAAGAGGAGGAACCTAGAGTTTTACGCCGACGGCGCACAGTGGGGCAAAAAAGGTTGCTGTGGACAAATCAATTTTGAGAGCCCAAATATGAACCGATTTCAAGCTCCTTTTTTTAAAATAAGAGATAATTAAATTTCGCGTCAATCTATCCATGGTGATTTTTTAAAAAAGCTCTAGCTTTTTGTTAATTATTGTGAAAAATGAAAGAAAAAAATTTTACGTTTGAATGCTTCCAATTGTTTGGAAATTACTTGCAATTAATTTCAAATGCCGGCAATTATTTAAAAAACTATTCATAAATATTTTTCCATAGGAAACATTTAATTAAAAAATATTTTTAATTTGCCATCTATACTGATATATATTTTGAAAGCTGTGTCAAAGGATGATAATAGAAGAAGAATAATTTCGATATATCAAGGGGCGTGGCACCTCCCATACAAACTAAAATTTTGACAGTTATAATAGTTTTTCAGTTGTAATATCAACGCCAAACTCATAGAAAAAATGGGAGTTATTGAAAAAGAGGGCGTGGCACCTCCCATACAAACTGAATTTCTCACATTAGAATGTGTATGTGGTGTGAGAAATTCAGTTGGTATGGGAGGTGCCACGCCCCCTTTTTCAATAATCCCCATTTTTCCATGAGTTTGGCGTTGATATTATATATCTCTGTACTAAATTGCAGCATTCGACGGAGAATACTTCCAGAGATATGTTGTGTGAAAACTTCAGTTTGTATGGGAGGTGCCACGCCCACTTGATTTATCGAAATTGCTTTTGATCTATTATCATCCTTGGATAGGATAGTCTGGAGTCGATGCCCAAAATTTCAAAAATATCGGTACAGCTGTTCTCAAGTTTTTCGATTAGAAACGGAAACGGCTTTCAAATTACATATTAGTATAAATAACAAATGAAATACATTTTTTAATAAAATCTATCCTATATAAAAATGATTATGAATAATTTTTTAAATAATTGCAGACATTTGAAATTAATTTCAAGTATTTTCCAAAAAAGTGGAAGCCTTCAAACGTAATTTTTTTTCCTTTCATTTTTGAACATAAATAAATAAAAAGCAGAGCTTTTTTAAAAAATCGCCCCGGATAGATCGACACGAAATTTAATTATCTTTTATTTAAAGAAAAAGAAATTTGAAATCGGTTCATATTTGGGCTCTCAAAATTAATTTGTCCACAGCAACCTTTTTTGCTCCACTGTGCGGCGTTTGTATTTTTACCAGGGACCGTAAATAACAGTTACTTTTTTTCAAGAGTTAAACTTGGCCAGATATTTTTAAGTGGAAAATAAAAGTATTTTTTTAATAATAAACAAACCGCTTATCCAAATTAAACAAGTTTGGTATCAACTGAAACAGGGCTAAAATAGTTTTAAAACTGAAATGTTTAGACGAGGAAAGCCAGCGGAAAGCCAGCTATTGAAAAATATTTCAATAAAAAATGTTTTTTAATTACCATAGGGCAAACCTTGTGTCAGGCATTTCTTTTGCATTAGATTTTAAAATTAATGCATTTTATTGTTGTGAATTTACAAATGCAACGAATATGCAAGCCCAAGAGCATATGCACAAGATTCTGAACAGCCCTATTAACTTTTTTTCAAGCAAAGATTAACAACTACGATTAAACGAAAAGCTGCACCATATAAGCGAGCGAGAACAAATTTAAGTATGTCTTTTTTAACGTTATCTCTACAGCCGCTTTAACCGAATGGATGCACGGTCGACTACTAACTTGTTATCACGGGCTTAATTTTTTTATTTATAGTTTTATAAAGCGAAACGTAACAGTTTCAGTGCATAGGCTATAGGGGCTGTCCATTACTTTATGCATTGCCAAATTTTCCGACTGGGTACATGCATACATATGGGCATATCCTGGGATACGGACGCGACATTCGTACGACTTTAGAGTTAAATAAATCATACGAGAACTGAAGTCACTTTTAGAAAATTTTTCCGTTTTGTAGCTTTTATACCGTCCTTTGGTTAACAAAAAAATTAAGTGCGCTTGGAACACTGACGTCGAGAAAATCGATGAAAAGGAGGGCATAATGGACGCGACAAAAATATTAGTGATTTCAGAGTACATGTGAAAATAAGCAAAACTCAGCGAATCCTGTAAGGTTTTCCTTTATTAAACAATCATTAAATAAAGTCAAATTATGGACCGTTAGAACCAATTCATTTTTGATCAGAAGCAATTCGTTGTTGATTTAATTTTGAATTAAATTCTGGTAAAGGACGCGACTTATCGGACGTGACAGATTTTTCTCCCATACAATATTTTTACTACATAGTAACACATACTAAATTTCATTTTTTTATTTATTTTTTTCAGATCTTTTCTCTTCGTCGTTTCGCGTTTTCATAACCCCTTTTCGCCATCTGAATACGAAATTTAAAGTTATAAAGCCGTTTGAATTCATTTACTTGCATTTTCTTTTTACCTTTTTGGGAAATGCCCATTTGTATTTATGCACATGAATACAATACAATACAATAATCGGAATCTGCACTATTTAACACATAAAACATATATATTTGTAGACATAAGCACATAAGCTCTAATCCAAATCACTTCTGAATACTATTTTAATAAGTTATCGGATGATCTTTGAACATCCGAACATTTATTTCCGATTGTATATAAACTCAGACGTCGATCCACTTTAATTAGTCTCGTTGTGACAGTTGGGTAAGCAGTTACAGTTTTTCAACATGGGTTTTAAGCCTCTTCTTCTTCTTTGCGTCGTCCTTTTTGCGGTAAGAACCTTAATGCAATAAAGTTGTAAATGTACATACATATGTATTTTCAAAAGAAAACTCAAAACCTCCTTTTCAGTCCGCCTCTGCCCGCTCGGTACGCGATGTTTCCACTGGTGAAGAAGCTCCATCGGCTTTGAATTTATTTGAAATCATAAACGAGAACTTTAAAAAAATTGGTGATACAGTTTCGAAATCAATCAACCCTCAACAATTTGAGGAGACAGGGCGTGATTTAGCTAAACAATTAGACCAATGGAGTGCTAATATCAAAAAAGAGGTAAGAACTACTGAATCTGCTTATAAAAGATACATTCAGAAGATGGTAGTTTTTTATTTATGGTAATCAACTTTGTTTTGCAGACAGAGAGCTGGAAAGACAATCCAGCTATTAAAAGTTTCGTCAAGACTGTGGATAATGCCGTGGAAGAAATAAAGAAATCAACTGACGTAAAAGGCATTGTTGATGCAATAAGTGTTGAAAAAGAAAAGTTGGGTCCTAAGCTCAAGGAACTTAAGGAAACTACAGAACCTCAACTTAAAGATCTTTCACAAAAGATTTTGGAACAAACCTCTTCAACCGTTCAGGATATTGCCAAGCTTTTTCAACAAGAAGTAAAGCAATAAATTGTACAACAGACTGCATGAAGTATAGGACAATATAATTTAAAAGTTCTCAGCGAATCGTTGTTAATAAATCTCGCTTTTTTCCTATCAACTTTGTTGTAAAAGTGTATCGGAGAGCAAATTAACAAAATATATACTGAACAAACATTCTTTCCAATGGCCTTTGGAATGATAAAGCTTTCAGTCTGTAGGGTAAACAACTTTGAGGAAAGAAATAAATACATACATACGTTGTTTCTTTCTTTTATATTAGAGTAGTAATGTGCGGAACACAATGTAAAGTCGTGAATTTAGGGTTCAAAAAGTTCAAGTTCAAATAATTATTTATTTTTCTGGTTTTGCTCACAAATTTCATACCTACATACATATATGCATATACATACATATATATCTGCTGGAACAAAGTATTGGCACAGCGAATTTTTCACAATATATGCAAACATTTTTATTCTAATATTTTTCCGCCAATTTTGTATAAAAATTTGGTTCATTTTACAGCAAAAAACATACATAATTCCTAAACTTTGTGAAAAACTCACGAAAATTCAGCAATTTTCATGCAACTTTTTAATCTGATTTTTTCGAATTTTTTTAGTATAAAAATTGGTAGCCCAATCAATTTTATTATAATAAAGTACAAGTTTTAAGTAGCTAGGAATTACCGTTGATTTTTGGAAATTTTTCCACGCAGTCTCTTACATACAAAATTTTAATTTTTTTTAAATACTTTATATGGAAAAAATGCAAAATAGCTTCAACAAAAAAAATTGTCAAAAATCGGTGCGATTTTTTACTAACTCCGAACTTGCATTTTTGTACTAAAATTTAATGGGCTGCAAAACTGCATACTCAAAAAAATTCTAAAAAGTCTGATTAAAATTTGAAAATCTGCATGAAAATTTGCTGATTTTTCGCGAGGTTAGCACAAAGTTTAGGAATTATATTTTTATGTTTCTTGTTGTAGAATGAACCATACTTTTATACCAAATTGGCGGAAAATTATTAGAAAAAAAATTTTTCATATATTGTGAAAAATTTGCTGTGCCAATACTTTTTTCGTCTCTTCTTACCGCTCCGTTAACTTTCGAAAATGCGTTTTTATTTTTTTTATTTCAAGAAATGATACCTGAAAACACGAAATTACAAATTGAGATAAAAAAAGAAATGGTAACCCATCAGGCATGGGCAGAGACTAAATCGATGTTTCCACGGCAAGTGATTCGCTCTCCCATTCGTTCTCTCATTCGTGATTGGCGTCCCAATTACGAACCGAATCACGTAATTCGCCATACAAAATTTTTAGAGCGAATCACTTAATTCGTAGGTGATTCAGATCCAATCACCATGTGAATCAAGAACAAATCGCTGCCTTCTCTAATTTTTATCGATAACGGCTGTCAAAACACATAGACTACACACATCCCCACCAGCACAAACATTGAAAAAATAGCTAGATTCGTTAAAACTATTGATTTAGCTAATTAACCACTACACATTTTTTCTTCACCGTTGAAATGCACAATAAACAGCACATTAAACAATAAACAAAAGCAAAGAACAAGAAGCAGAGATGCAAAGTGAATCACGAATGTGTCGTGTAAACAGGTTGATTCGCCGTTCGTAATTGAGAGAGCGAACCATCGTCATGATGGAAACGCCCTTTTAGCAGGTGCTAAAAGATCGTAAGCATTGCATGTACATATACAAGCGGGAGCGTAACGATGAGAACGCGACAGCATGCAAAATGAATTGGATGCACTAACACATTCTCACTTTTAGCTCACGCTTGTTTGGGGTAGTGCCCACCTCTGCCCATGATTCAATTATTAAAGGTTTGCTCAATATTGACATTCGAGTTTTGACACTCCCTTAACTCCCTTACTAAAGCGCTGGTTATACTTACATTGCAAGTGCAGGGCATAGAGAAGCAGCGCATATGAAGCAGTGGTGTATTATAATTTCATAGAATCAGCTGTTCAGTGTAATCACTTAGTCTGTTCCAGTACTCCAACATTTAGTTAGGAAAACATAACTGAAGAATGCTTATTCATAGCTTAAATGAAGTCGACACTAAAGTTAGTTGCCGCTTTTTGTCATAATTTTCAATGAAATTGCGGCAACTAACTTTATAATTGATTTTGTTTCGAATATAAATATGCCCCAATGTATGTACAAGAACAACTTCTCAGTAATTCCTGTAAATCTGATGGGTACTGGAACAGACTAATGAGAGCAATGAGAGTGGCATCTCGCTTTGAAAATGTAACATAACGAAAAATCAAAATTCTCCAGACTTAGATGCCATGTCCTGTCATGCGTTGCGTAGGATAATCGTTTGTATGCAAAGCTCATTAAACAGATTCGATATGTGGCAGTACTCATCCCTGCAGTGAAAAGCTAAACCAGTTAGAAAAAATACTAGTTCATTAGTGCCTACCAGTTCGACAATTTCGAAGAACTTAGGCGATCAGCGATATCTGCCTTTGAATTGCCAAAGCTAAAAATAAAACGCAATTAATTGCTTTTCTTACAAATGTCGGCTGTGGCGTCACGTGAAGACTACTGGTTCTGGTTCTGAAATCGCAGGTTCGAGGTCGCTTGGAGGTGGTTAAGATTTTTAAAGTTAAATAAATGTAAGTAAAAATAATTTATTCAATTTATAAATAAATAACAAATTTGAAAATCGAATTGCGTTGCAAAAAAACATTTAGGAAGAAATATAAAAACAAAGAAATTAAACAAAAATATTTTTTTATTAAATTAAAAAATTACAATAAACAGCATAAACAAAAAAATAAATTTATAAAAAATAAAAATAAAATAAAAAATAGAAAATAAAAAAATTTTACCTGCGCCAGGATTTGAACCTGGGACCTCAGGCTTACCACGCGAGTGCTCTTCTCTGTCGGCCATTGTGACTGCTGGAGCGTCGCGAGCAAAAAGGCACACTTATGCTTTTCACGGGGCATGAATTGGCAGACTATCTCATCAACGGGTATGATGCTACTAGTATTTATACTAGTAGATGCTGATGCATAGCCTGACAATTGACATCTCGTAGGACATCGCAATGTTGAAAATACCAGTCGCTAACATTCAAAAAGGATAGAACGTGAACTAGTTCGGCTGAAACGCAAACCGGTAGAATTCTAGTTCACAACTAGTAGCTTTCCCTGCAGGGCAGCGCTTTAGGGTTTACACCGGACAATACTGTCATGACAATGAAGATATACGAATTAGTTGTCAATACCCTGCAAAAAATTGTGCGACTAATCTCTAAAGAGACTATTCCGAGATTACTCTCAATCGGGTACAATTGGGCATTAATTAGTCCCAACTAGTCTCATACGGGTACTAATGGAGGTCAATTAGTCTCGACTCATCCCTTGTGGGTATAATTGGAGATTAATTAGTCCCCAACTCATCTCTAACGGGTACTATTAACGATTTAAAGATATGTACGCTCTTAGTCAATGAAATTTCATGTGCGGCGTTGGCACACAGAGAGAGTATTCGCCTAACAAAACTGAGCACCCCGGTTTGAATCTCAGCTGACGAACATTTTTATTTTTTAAGAGTGACTAGTCGCTTTTTATACCCTTTCGGGTATAAATGTGAACAATTAGTCTCTTCATAGGACATGCCCGAACAAAAGCGATCAGTTCATTCCATATAAAGAGATCAAAAGTGGTATTAGTCGCATGCTCCTTTGCGATTGCTCCCGGAGTCATCCCGGATTAGTCCCACTTTTTGCAGGGTATTTTTCCTATATGCATGTATAGTGAAAAAGTGTGCATGTATTGCTATTGTCATGACAGTATTGTCCGGTGTAAATTTGGTCGCTTCTTTTTCATTTGGTAGGTTGGTCGCCAAAGCTAGATTTTGGTCGGATAGTTGAATTAAGTTTTTAAATTCTTAATTATAAAAAAATAAATTTCAGACATCATTTTGAATATAAATATTTGCCAATTGTACCTTTTAAACATTTGCCAATCCGGCCTTTACAAATAAGAAATCCAATTGGTTTGGGCACTGATGGAGCCAATGTTATGGCTGGAGACTTGGGCGGGCTGAAAACATTATTGAGTGCAGAAACCGATTTATTTTTTATTAAGTTCACATGCCACTTACTTCACCCTTTGCTCAAGCTACGCTTCTAAAAAATAGTACATTTTCCCCATAATTAACAATCTTAACAAAGAGTTCCAAGCTGAAAGCTCTCGTTTGCTATAACTACCCTGCAGTGAAACCCCAAACTAGTCAGGAAAAATACTAGTTAACAACTAGAATTTCCTGACTAAAACCGAACTAGTTCGAAAATGACCAGACTTGTACCAAGTACAAAACGATTTATTCATGCCCTGTTCTATTTGACTTCGGCAGTTTAATACAATAGAGTACACAAAATATTATAACTTTCATTTGGGTATATTGTAAACGGTAAAGCAAGTACGTACTCGCAATTATACCATACTTTTAAATAATGATTAATATTCATAATGATTATTAATTAAACAAAATTTTTTAATTAACTCGTTAATTTTAATTACATCATGTTATTTTTGATCATTTTCAATTATTTAGACATTTTTTAATTACACAATTAATATACAGTGAAAGCTCTCATAGACGGACGCTCTAATAAGCGGACATCTCCTATAAGCGGACACATTCTTGGGAACGAACAATTTTTGGTTTTTTTCTATACAAAATGCTCTCCCATACACGGACTTTCCGATAAACGGACGCGGACACTCAAAAATGTCCAGTTATGAAAAAAAAATCTCCCATAAGCGGACGCGAAACTCTAACAAGCGGTCAATTTGGTTTTTTTTTTCAGTCAGATGTTGACTCTGGCGCTTCTACATTTGTATATGTACACAAGAACATAGTCCATAGTCAAAGATATTTTCTTTTCTAGAAAAAGTGTTGCCTTTTCGTTGCCCTCTTCTTGCGGCTTGAGCGAAGTGGGCAATGAGATTTGTCGGTAGGAAAGAAAACGCCATAAATTAGAATTTATTCTTAATTCATCCTGTTTTTGTCTATTGAAGAATAAATATTATTTTAATTTAGAAACCCGCAATATAAATTTTTTATGTTTTAATTTTGATTTTATTTTTTACGAAATTCCCATAAGCGGACATCTCTCATA